ATTTTCATAGTTACTGTTGGCGCGTTACCGCGCGTTCTGGAAGTTGCTTTTATGAATTCTAGCGAGTCATTGAAGCGGGAAAATGAAATACGCCATATTGAGAAAACAATAAAGGAATTCTGGCTGCTAGAAGCAGATGATGGATTTATAATTGAATTATAAAGTAGACGTATTGACGTCATTAAAAACATTTCTTTATGCATTGAATATACATGATATCTTGAGTATAATAAGGAGTTAGTATAGATTTTTCATAACTCTTTGAATAAATGAAAGCGAGAATAGACGGAATACAATAATGATTTTATATGGATATTTTGGACTTGGAAAATGAAAAAGTTAATGCAAACGCAGTATATTCATTGATAACATTTTTATAAGGAATGGAATGATAAATGTATTCAATAGCTTTTTGTTTTTTAATTAAGAAAAATTTTAATAGATGTCCCATGGATCACAAGCATTCACCATCTGATACATTTCAACATCATTGAACTCATGAAAATAGTAGTTTTTGAGTCTATAATTTGCAAAACAAAATGAAAGTACATTAAACTGACATTACACAACAAGTAACTTAACTCATGAACATTACATTTTAAATTTTGTTGAAAGTAAAACGTACTATACTAGTGAATAATTTCCTTCTTTGAATCACATAATCGCCATTGTCCATTAAAGGACCTTTGAAGTAAACCGAACTAGGACAAACATGTATACGAGATATATACATTGTAGATATATATTGTATCATGATTGCAGCTCATGAATAATGTATTGATAAAAGATGGTTTAACACATCTGCGTATGATTCTAAATTCAAAAGTTCACCATTGCCATGATTGAATGTTTCAAACTGTTTAAGTCGGTGCTAGGGGGCGTGGACGGTAGTTTGCACTTAACAGTACCGCCCATGAACAGGCTCATTCAAACCGAGACTGCAACATTTTTTGCCCCTTTGGACTTTCTTTAGGGGTTCTTATTTTCTCTGTTAAATTTGATAGCATAATTAATGCATCTATTTTCGTGGACGAATACATGCAGAATCACGAGGGCCAGCAAATTTGCAGATGTTAATGCAAAAAAGGTGTATTAATCATCTGTAGCGTTATCTCTGAATTTCTCGTACCTTTTCGTAAAAAAAAGAGAGAAAAAACAGTATGAATGATCTTAGTTCAAGAAGTGTAATAATACAATAAGGAAAAATGAAATAGATAATTTTAGAACGTTTAATGAACATCAGAGTGCCTGGCATAATTATATTCTTGCTAGTCAACATTTTGGAGTATATCTTACTTTCTCTCAGTTACATATTTGTTGTCTTCAAGGGTCATTAATCACATCACTTTTTTTATAGAATTTTATAATAAAAAATCAAAGGTATTTGCGATGGATATTGTTTCTAGGGAAATACAACCTTGAGATAAGATATACTAGAGTTGAAATTAATTTGATCCCCTTTGCACTTTCAAGCAGTTGAAAGATATTCATGTATATATATATTGTGTAAAAGTAGCAGTCACTTGCTTTTTGTTCTGTAAATCATAAGATAAAATTGTTAAAAAAAATACTTGTATACATATTTGTTGAATATTTCTTTTTCTATATATTTTAATGTAAATATTGTGATCGATAAATAAACGTTTTGGACAGTAACAATGTATATATTATCATTGAACTTACAAACAATAAAATTAAAAGATCAGTAAGTTGAGGCAACGTTCGCAGAACGCAACCCCCGACACAACCTAGTCACACCAGCCGGGAACCCAAAAGACACTAAACCAAAAATGGGAGAGGATACAAGGATGGGGAAAGAAGGGTATGGACATGTCATAAGTGAAATGATAAGAATTAAAAGGCCCGATCTGGGGAACAAAGGGGCAAGTTGTGTAAAGAAAAAAAGGAGGGCACAAAGTGGGAAATGGGGAATAGAAAGAAAATACTGTTAAAGATCCTGTAACTCAGTTTTTTTATGGTTTTATATTATAAATATGATGCTCAAATGCAGATTTATCAATATTTAAAGGTGCAAAAATCAAATTTGTAAAGATATTACCGAATTTACATTTCGTGTTAATCAAGGGAGGTAATTAAAAATTTATTTTTGATAAAGCCTAAACCAAATTTTTCAATAAGAAATGAATGCATATATTTAAAGATTACCTATAATGCTTATGAACATTTGCAGTACATATTTAACATATATTTGGATGTTTGGAAATTGATTTAGAAGAATAATTATATACATACATAAAATTTCACTTAAATGTTGTTACATTCGTGGTCGCCCATGTGGTCTCTTTCCGGTGGCGAGTGTAAACAAGCCCAAACACACACATTGTAACATTCTTAATTACAACATACAGGATCTTTAACGGCAATTTAACAAGATGGGACATCACTAAACGTGTACACATGCAAAGCATGTAGCAATTCACAAAACATACATTTGAGACATGTGAAGGAATGTGAAGGAACAAAGAAGGGTGCCGGCTTGGAACCGCTTGGTACGGTGTCTTTAGTGTGCCATTTATTATGTCGTCCGTCGCGTTTAAGGGTCGACGCACGACAATGCAAAGTGACACGCGACAATGCGATACGACGCTCGGTAACGCGAAGCGACGCTCAATATTGTCAAACGAAATATCGCGATGTCGTTTAGTAATATTATGTTAAAAAAGGGCGACATTTATAAAAATGTCGCTTCGCGTTGTCGAGTGTGGCTTCGTTCTGTCGAGCGTCACTTCGCGTTGTTGCATTGTCACTTTGCGTTGTCGCATTGTCATTTCGCGTTGTTGCATTGTCGCTTCGCTTTGTCGAGTGTCGGGGTGAGCAGAAATACAGACCATGACACGCGGCAATGCAATATGACGCTGACAATGCGATACGACACACGACTACACGAAGCGATATTTTATAAAATGTTGCAATCTTTTTCTGACTTTTACACTGCGACACCCGACAATGCAAAGCGACACTCGACAATGCGAGGCGATATTCGACAATGCGAAGTGACATTTTGACTAATATCGTATCGTATTGTCTTGCGTCTACCGGTGACAGGTCAAAATATAATACCACACCTCAAGCGGTGCGATTCAATATGATACAGAAAGGAAAATAAATTACCTTCTGACGATGACATGACGCTTGTTATAACAAATTATCATCGTACCGCTTGCCGGTGTGGTATTAAATTTTGACCTGTCACCGGTAAACGCACGATGGGTAAATTGATACTGATGTGAGCGCGGCAAAAAATTTGACAAGAACGAAATAGTAGAGTAAATCAATTATTTTTGTTGGCTTTATGTGTTGACTACATACAATAAAGTATTAGACAAGAAAGGAAATATTATTTTCATATTCATTGCTGACCGGCGATTCCAAGCATTTTTGGAAATGCTAATACTTGTAAATAGATTACGTTCATTTAAATTACCCACATGATTGCACCTCTTATAAATCTAACTAACTGAGAAATATATACCCCATATGATGTTGCATTAAACGAAAATCTCTTTTTCATAAATTTAGTTACTATAGTACTGGTAATTACAGAAATGTTTAAAACTAAAAAAAGATGTAGTAATGTCTGAAGAGTTTCTTTAATGCAATTAAAGTTCACTTGGATAAATTTTAGTAACCATTTGATCAAAATAACGATTTTTCATGTTCAGAATATCATCAAGGTAGTGGAAAGTGTTATAAGTGTTATTAAATGCATGTATAACTTCCTGTTGTGAGTTTGGAATGAGACACTTAAATATAAAATCCCTCTCGTTAAATTTATATCGCATTAAACGTAGACCTATACATTTCAAGTACATGTAATACATTCATAGTCAACATGATTTTTACTTTTTTTAGTGAAATATTAAAATGGTCAAATATAGATTGGGGCGTTCTTGACCGAGTGGTAAAGGTCGTTGACTTCAATTAATCTGCCACTCACCTCTGTAGATTTCGAATCCCACCAGCTAGCTTATGGAATGTCGGTGTCGGCACCTGTGCGAAATAACGCACAGAGAGGGCATCTGAGGTCTTCCACCACCAGTAAAGCTTGAAAGTCGCCATTTTATCTCTAAAGATCAAAAATATAAACCTGAACGGTCAAGACAGCAAACTTAAATAATTGAGCCAGTTCATTGACAGTACTGGTAAATGCAAGTTACGGTCTACGTCCCTTATCACAGGCTTAAAAAGGATGCATCAGTTAGACATGAAAATTGAGAACATTTTAATGCAGAAATATTTGTAGATCTGTTCATTCGACAAATTTGTAGTCTGTTTTAAAAGTTCAAATTGGCAAAATTTTCAAATCAGTGCGATTTCAATGGTTGTGATTGGAGGATATTACTGAGTTTATGTATCTACACTTGAATATTTTGACATCTAAATCTGTAAAAATCTGGAAACAAAGTGAGCCCTCTGAAGCATTAATCACAACAAAATTACAAGAGAACTGTAGACTCGGTTTGATTGAGTCTGTGCATGAGGAATAATGAATACGTGCAACATCCCTCACGCCCCTAGCACCGGCTTGAGCGGTACTTAATTCTCAACACTTAATCGTGTTGGCATCAATGATCCCGAAGGACCAGAAAAATATGACAACACTGAAGTGAAGTACGGTGCAACTTTTTACAGCTGCCACACAGTACTTGTAAGTCGCATGAAGACTCGAAAAGAGTGGCATGGTATGTAAAAGATTATGTTTAATTTGTTTAGATCGTATGGATGCAGAGAATACAAAGGTGAAGGTTCAACGATTTCATTTCTAGTGTGACAGTCCTTGTTGTTCAGAGAAGCAATGGTCTATCTTACTAAAGTTTAAATTAAGGGTCAAATTGTAAAAACTCAGATTTAGAATTTAACAGAGTTCAACGTTTATTGGCATTCAGCAAAAACAATTGACTTTTGTAATTTGCGGTATTTACTGGCTATATATATATTTACATTTGAATATTTCGATATATATTTACACAAAGACAATATAATATGATATAAATAGTTAACACAGACAAACGAACATATAAATGTACAATAACAATATTCAAGTTCAACAGATATTCATAATATATGTATCAAGATTCTGTGTACATTCAAATAAAGCATTCCTTGTGATAACATGGTTTTCATATTCTTTGGCATTGAATACGTTTCAAAATAAGTCTTAAAATCATTAAAACTGACATAAGCATCATGGTGATTAAAAGATCTAAAATCATCTAGATCTTACGCAGAGAATGGTGTTTTATTCATATTTGCAAGATTAACCTTTTCTATTTGATAATATTTATATTTCACTTTTCTTTTAATTTTATTATAATTTCCTGTACAATTTAGCACGAACAATTTACCAGCATCAAAACCGGGACTAGAAAGAAACCGTTTCGTGTGAGTTTTTGTGAGGAATATTGCTACTTTTCGTTATCTCTCATGTACAGATTTTGTTAGAATTAACACTTCCGAGGAATCACCAATCTGCCAGATTATTGCTTTATAACATTCAATTAGAATCGTGAAAGGAACGAACGGAAGCGACTATATTAATTATTTGACTCATTTCAGTACTTTAGACGATGGCAGGATAAACATGTCAAAATTGGTCTAATTAATACTGTTTATAAGGATGTATCAAGCAAGGCAAATCATTTCAGTTAACGATGAAGTTCAAAATCTAGATGTCACAAACATTAATTCCCTTCATGTATATTAATTGTTAAAACGTGACGTTCAAGATATGAATCAATAAACATGTGTATACTTATAATAAATAGCAAGAATGACTTACAGTGATAAGGAATCAAGAAAATATTTCCCTAATTAAGACAATGCATGATTTATACAAATGGACAAATTAAAAATATACATATTACATATCCAATCATGTTCAAGCTGATCTATCAAGCCTTAAATTTGATCACGTGCCGACAATTTTACATGTTTGTTTTTCATTGTGTATATGAATATTTAAAATTATAAAATTACAATATTATTGCGGACATTTATTTTATTCTCTTCCTGTTTCAGTTTGTCCTTTTTTCAAACGAATGCTTCTCTTCATTCAACCTCTTGACTTTAAAATGTCTTAATTTAATCTCGCTTTAACAGTAAGCTTAACTTCCTGCAACTTATAAATAAACTTTAAAATCAGCTTCTTTAAAGATACACTTGAAATATAGTTATGAGGACATCAGCAAATGATGAATCCGAAAACTTAATTCTTTACCCATGTCTTCTCCTGACACATTTCTTTACAATAGAAACCAAAATGGTGACACAACACGCCAAATCTTAAAATGTTGCAAATTTGCTTTGACTGAGTCACTCCGTGAACAGCAGTTGTTTATACAAGCTATCTCGTGGCTGATAATCCCGGCTTCCTTTAAACAATTAAAATATCTAAAAGTGAATTTACGCTGGTTCTAATGGAATCTTCCGTGTGTCACTTAAAATGATAAACGGAAGTAAACAAAATGGAAGTTTGAGAGGGGGTCAGATGTTATGCAGTCTTGATTATTATGAAAAACAACAATATCCGTGTTTGTAATTTTGCGTCATTTGCTATAAGGACAGAAAGCCTTAGCAGGACTGTGGGACTATTCAGTACCAAATGATAAAATTGCCAGCATTAAGAATAATTTTTTCTTCATGTTTAACAAAAACTAGATCCTCAAATTGCTCCGTAACCATACTGATTTATAATATGCGTTGCTTCGTGATTCCAAAAGTCCTTTATAGATTTTTCGATTTTCCTTTCCTCTACCTCGTTCACAAGCGATGTGTTTGAACGTGACAAAATTGCTTGTACAAGTTGAGGAAAAGCTCCAACAGCAACAATAAAGATTACGTGCATTACTTCTGAAATCTCTGATGTGGGCCCTGAGACATAATCTGCAGATATGCTGAAAGTCAAGATGACAAAAGTGATCATTATAGCAGCTTTGAAGCAAAGAATAATGACTTGCTGGTGGACTGGACGATGTTTCGTGACAATATATTCGAATAGCTTTTTTGGAACACCAAATGCACAGTCTCTTTCCTTTATTTTCACAACTTTCGTTTTTCCTATTTTGTGAAGAATATTTGATGGAATTTGTAATTCTACTCCATTGATCCGAATATCAACAATATTTTCAAAGTGTGTATTTGATATTTCTAAATGTCCATCTCTTACAGATATCCGGGATTCATCAAGTGATAGATGTCTTGAAACATCTACTGTCGTCGCTAGTAATTCCATATATCCATCTCCAAAATTCCTGATCAAATTGATAAAGTAATAGAAAAGGACGATGAAGAAAAATAAATAACCAAAGGATACTGACGGATAGATGATTATGGCGACAAAGCAATGAGTTATGACGTTAAAAATGAAACCCAAACTGATGATAAAAGTCAAAAATATCACATAGATGTAAACCATAAATGAGACAAAGACTATGGCAACTCCAATGTAACAGGTAATGTAATATTTGAAAATGGCATTCAAAAGTAGGCTCTGACTCCTTAAATAGCGAAGGGATTTAAGACCGCCATTAATCATGCATGATACAAACGTACAAAACGGAAGTCCATGATACATTATGCATAACACAATCTCTACAAAACATAAAGCAACATACAATGGAACAATTACAATTGAGAGTATTGCCAAGCAGCACCGGGATTCAGTTTTATATAGAAAACGGATTCTTTCAATTTGCAAGTTCCATAACTCTTTCCAAAACCCACATGTAAATAACATGTAAAATCTACACTTCATAAGTGTAGAAGCCTTTATATAACCAGGCTTCATCTGATCCAGTTGGACATTTATCCTCGACATTTCAATAATTTCTGAAGTACCGAAGAATAGTGGTGATTTTATCAAAAGGTTTGAAGTGGGTAATCCTGTTTCAACAACCTGCTTCACGCTTCTTGGCAGGGCAATAAATATAAGACTCAAAGCGTAATACAGCGCTACAACACCCAAAGGCCCACCTAGAATAGGCACAAACACGTTGCGTCTATCTTCTGCATCGCCGAAAAGAGACAAAAATCCCATAGGTGTTCCAACTTTTACCAAATCCCTTACGAAGATTTTTTCTGTGCTCCATTGTCCCATTCCCTCGGTATACATGGCAATTTGAATGTAGATAAAAATGGGAAACATAAAAACAAATAGAAGCCTTCGCAACCTTGAAACTAGAATAGGATGACGGTCTAATCCAATTGTTTTGAAGCTTAGCAGGTCGCCTAACGTAAGAGGAGAACATCCGTCAGCATATAACCAGTTCTCATTTAATGTCTCTTGACATTCAAAATCATCCGTCATTTCAAGTAACGTTATGTCTTCGTGGATAATCTCGTCTTTGGATAACCAGGCCGTCATTTTGTATAGCATAATCGGAAAATACAAGAGAAACAATACCCCCAAGAAGTATGGCAATTTTGTGGTGAATATCCATGAATGCACGCCTGCTATATCTTTATCTCCATCAATACACTTTCTGCTATAACTATTATTTGTGTAGTTGAATTCCACTAAACAGCATGTATAATGAATAAATTTCATCGGATAAGAGAGGTAAATTGCTGCCCAATAGTGCATAGTATTGCAATATTTTTCACGTCGTGTTGTAAGGTAACAAAAGTAGCTTTCTGGAAATTTTATAATATCACCCCCTCGTATATCTATAAGAGGTATTAGAGCCTTCGTTACAGCTTCAGATGTTTCACGCTGTCCGAAAGTGAATTCACATTTACTATGCTTATCTGGTGGCGTTATGGCAACGCATACATATGGAATATTTATTGTTTTTGCTTCAAGCAAGTGGAAAGAGAGTATACCATAATCAAGGTTCCACGACAGGAAAGGAAATGGACCTGATGAGGTATTGTAAGTCCAGAACCATCGTAATCTTTGAAATGTATTTGAAGTAACACTCGGCTTGATAGATGACTTATCGCAGATTTTCAAAGAAAACTGGATAAAATCTGGTTCTGCGGCAATCAAGTTCGAGCGAAATATGGCTTTGCTTCTATTATAAACTGTAATGCTGCATACTGGTGTTGGTAACTGGTTACCGCCACTTTTGTTACGCTCTTTTGAAATGTTGGTCTCTTTCTGGAATAATATATGAGTTCCTCCCATGTTAGATATTGGTCCTTTATATTTTGCAGGCGTCTTGTTATACATTATTGTCAAAGGTTTGTTGCTATTATCTGATTGATTATGTATTCGAGTTTTGACTTGTTTCATTATAGGCGATTGTTTGAGATCCATCTTTTCTGATAGAATACTCATTTTTAGAGAGTTCTGAAAGTTCTGTTTTCCATCTCTATTAGTAAGCTGTAAATTTTTGCGCTTGCCTGTCGACAAAATGTTTTCCCTACCGCCGTAAGTGCTATGTCTTTCATATATGTGTTTGTTCATTAAATTGCGGTTTTCAGAGGATTGTGCTCCCTTTGACAAATAACTGTTGTCTGTTTTGTCAACCAGAGCTCGCATTTTTGAATCATGGATCAGTCTTAAGGAGGCTGGATCCTTTCTAGAATTGGTATCTTTCTTTTCCAATAAAAAAGTGCTGACTGTTGAAGTAGATGTCACTTCAGCGTTGATAGATTCTGGCTCTCTATCGTAACCAGCAAGTGTTGAACTTGCTTTTCGCACTCCCGTCTCTGTATGTGTATGAATATGACTGACTGTAGCAGCATATACATGTATTGCCAACAGAAAGGAATACATAAGAGTAACATACTCTTTAACTCGTTCCATTATTTAAAGTAGTTATCTGTAAATAAAAATTCAATCCATTGTATATAATTATAACACTAAATACAGTAGTTCATAAGCGGCATTGTTTTACTATCAAAAATCATATTACAATTATGCGTACAGAAAATATTATCAATATATGCTGAGATTAATTGTAACGTAAACAAAACAATCTTTTAGAAAGTATAAAATGTTTTAAATGTTTTTAAACTACCTGTTTGAAAAGAAATCCGGATGAATGTGCCAATCCCATCATAAATTCATGAATTTTATATCAAACGGAAGTTAATAAAAGCGCGAAACATATCGAAAGCCTGGTGAAATATTAACAATAAAATTACCACACAAATCAGTATGTACAAAACGTGAATATATTTCAAGTTTAAAAAATAAACAACAATTTTGTGCCTCCTCACAATACAAAATATTATATGTGTATGTATACAAAAGATTTTATCTTCAAAATGAAAGAAACTTGGTCATTTCAGGTAGAGTATAAATTACACGAAATAAATGTTAAACAAACTAGGTGCATACATTTATTCAATAAATACCCCTGATTTCTTCGCTCTTTTTTCTAGATTTTTACTTCTACGTTTGTTAACTGCAAAATCACTTTTATTCCAGTCGGGTACGTGCATATTGATAATACCCCTATTGAGCAATCGCAACTTTTCGGCCCTTCCCGTCAGTCTTCGGATAAAGAAGTATATCATTATAGATAATAGCAGAGGATGTTCCGATTGCCCTACTGAGTGGCGGTGACTCCCCATGTATATGTTTTAAAATGAGACCCATCATAAGAATTTTGAAACTGCATTGTAATCTTCCTTTTCTATAGCACGAATAAATGAACAACGTGTTTTTTCCTTTCTATGCACAAATAAACAGTAAACGTGGTTTACTTCTACGCACAAATAACGTGCACGTGAGAATGAACCTGTTTTACAGTAAACTTGTTTCTGTACGTAAATAAAAAGCGTGTTTTACGAATAAACGTCTTAACTGTCGAAAGAAAAAGAACGTTTAAAATCGAATTGGTCCACAATTGAAAGTATGCAATACCCTCAATAATTATGTTAGAAAACTAAGAACGAATTAAATATGCATGTTCTTGTACATGATCCGATATTACATATACACATGTAGCACATTATAAAGTGTTCTGGAACAAAATGTTATTTCTCTGCATATGAATGCTCGTACTCTATCACTTAGAAGTAGATCAACACTTTTTATTCATGAAATATTATGTAAGAATATTCAAATACTACATTTATATTGTTTTTATCAATAGCAATGTTCTCATTGTAGACCAATCCACATTTTACAGATACAAAATGTGTATTGAACTGGAAAGGATATAACAGAGATATAAAAGCAACCTTCAACATTTTCTGGAGTTAATTTCGGGTTGTTCAGGGACCCTCTACAGGCGAACTCCACTTGTGATTTTTAATGTAGATTTTCCCCAAGATTTAATTTACATCAATATTTTTCTTCCCTTTTTGCAAAACTACCGTGTCATGTTAAACAAATTTTATGGGATGTTCAAATTCTGTCTGTGGAAAATGTCTGGGTTTATATTAATGAAAAGTATAAAAATGATAAAAAGTGACTACTCAAAACAAGCGTAAATGTTTTGTAAGACGAGCGAGGGAAACTAACTATTGTTCAAATTCAGGTCAAAAATATAGTACATATATAACTATAATTTCCTTATCAATTACTTCTATTATTTTCTCGTGTTGACAAATCTGGCTGCCCTAAATAACCCGGCAATAATTGTTATTCAGATAAATCGGTCTGATTTATTGTATAGGATAGAATTGCAATGTTTGGAATAAAAGAACAATGATAGGAAGGTTTAAATCAAACCATAACATAAGACGAAATGTTTCTAAAGGCAAACAAAACCCGAAATGATGGCCTAATTCAACAACAAAATCTGAAAGATTATATCCGTTAGATTTTTATTTACCCCTGCCTGTAAACACAGAAAAAAGATAATAAATGTTCTTGTCGAAAACTGGTGCGGATCCGTAAGTAAACATTGGTCAGTTAGAGCGTGTTAGATGTTTATCACCTACAGAAAGTAGTGATATTTTTGTTTGCTGAATCATTGGTTATAAAAGTAGCAAAATGTAAACAAAGTAGTATTTTGACTTCCTTTAAATATATTGAATCACTATTACTTATTACCAAAAAGCAAAATATGGTCCAAATAATTGACCAATGAATTCTCTTTGGACATTATAACAGGAAAAAAAATATAAACAAAGATAAACAAACAAAAAAATAAATAAAAAGAAGCATTTCGGAGGCAAAATTGGCCTTAAAACTAAGTACATGTACAAAACAATGTATTAGGAATATGGAGCCATATCTTGACGCAACACAATTTTATTGTTTCATTTTATGAAAAATAATGTTCACTCAAATTCAACAAATCAAATATCCACGTAAAATGTGAGTTCTTACCCTTTTCCACTTTTGAAAACATACTATGATAGAAAGGCTTTGATGGAAATTTATTCAATGTGATTGTAAAAAAAGATAATCTATATTGCATTTGACTGATAAAATGTACTGGTTAAAAGAAAGTTATACATTGTAATAACATTACGTTTTTGTGTTCATAATAATTTATACGAAGAAAACACCTCAAAGGAAAGGAAAGTAACCTTACGTATGAGTCAGCTTCAAACTACCATTATTCCGGATACTTGGAAAGAAAACAACAGTATTTGATACAGGCAATCATTTTGTTCATTTTGCAGAAATGAGTAAAATGTTGTTCTGTTCTACGTAAAAAACTACAGATTTTATTGCATAAAAACTTTGTTGTTTAGGTGTGTAACTCAAATATGTCAATTTTGACCAATTTTTACAATAGTCACATGGAAATATGCCATTACCGTGAATGTATACGTGTACATTAATTACAATATTATTATTAAGTAATAAAAGTCACAGTATAATTATCATTAATAACACAACTGCCAGTGCAATAAGAGATCGGAATGCATTACTCGTCCATTAAGACAACAAATCAAAATGGCTATCAAAGATTTCTTTATCCTATTTAAACATTCCGTTCCTTACCTTCCTTAATTACTATCTATTAAAGTTAGGACTTTTAGTTATCATGAAAATTATAAATAACAAGAGTGCCATAATGGCCCTGAGTCGCTCACCAGAAACAACTGCTTTTCGGTGTTGGAAATTATCCATTGTCTATTATTAAATTTGAGCATAGAATATGTTTAAACAATAATTTGAAGAAATGCCATGACCTGGGGCATTTAAGCTTTAGCTTAAACGAGCCAATCAAATTAATATGAGCAAACTTGATAAAAGACTACCTAAGAATGCTACAAAGTTTGGTGATAATCTATCAATTATTTCAGTTTCAAAGGTTTTTGGCTTTAGTGGCCCCTAAAAGGGGCTAATCAAATTAATATGAGTAAACTTGATAAACGACTACATAAGAATGCTACAGACAAAGTCTGGTGACGATCCATCAATTAGTTTTGTAGAAATAGAAGTTTAAAGGTTTTTCTATTTTTAGCTTTAGCGGCCCCTAAAGAGGGTTTATCAAATTAATATGAGCAAAATTTATAGACTACTCAAGAATGCTACAGACAAAGTTTGGTGATCATCCATCAATTAGTTCTGTAGAAGAAAATGTTTAAAGGTTTTTCTATTTTTAGCTCTAGAGACCCCTAAAAGGGGCCAATCAAATTAACATGAGCAAACATGATAAAAGACTACCTAAGAATGCTACAGACTAAGTTTGGTGATCATCCATCAATTAGTTCTGTAGAAATAGACGTTAAAAGGTATTTCTATTTTAAGCTTTAGCGACCCCTAAAAGGGGCCAAACAAATTAATATGAGCAAACTTAATAAAAGACTACCCAAGAATGCTACAGGCAAAGTTTGGTGATCATCCATCAATTAGTTCTGTAGGAATAGACGTTTAAAGGTATTTCTATTTTTAGCTTTAGCGGCCCCTAAAAGGGGCCAATCAAAATAATATTAGCAAACTTGATATAAGACTACCTATGAATGTTACAGACAAAGTTTGGTGATCATCCATCAATTAGTTTTGTAGACGAAGATGTCTAAAGGTTTTTCTATTTTAGCCCTAGAGACCCCTAAAAGGGGCTAATCAAATTAATATAAGTAAACTTGATAAAAGACTACCTATGAATGCTACAGACAAAGTTTGGTGATCATCCATCAATTAGTTTTGTAGACGAAGATGTCTAAAGGTTTTTCTATTTTAGCCCTAGAGACCCCTAAAAGGGGCTAATCAAATTAATATAAGTAAACTTAATAAAAGACTACCTAAGAATGCTACAGACAAAGTTTGGCGATCATCCATCTATTAGTTCTGTAGAAATAGACGTTTAAAGGTATTTCTATTTTTAGCTTTAGCAGCCCCTAAAAAAGGCTAATCAAATTAATATGAGCAAACTTGATAAAAAAAAACTACACAAGAATGCTACAGCCAAAGTTTGGTGCTCATCCATCAATTAGTGATGGATGTTGCACTCTTTCAATATGCCTCATGTACAAACACAATCAAACCGAGTCTGTAATTTTCATGTGATTTTGTTGGTATCACCCTTCTTCCAGATTTTTATCAATGTATCCCATGGAAATAAGTCTCGGAACTTTCATGGACAGTTTACACATTATACAATACATGCCTTTTTCTCTTATAAGATTGTATTTCAAGTATTTGCAAAATTGCTGCACAATTTGATTCTATAATTTCAAACAAAACTTCTATAGTGGTAGTTGCCGATCTCTGTTCCTTTCGAGTCTAATTTGAGAGTGTTATTTCACTCACTTGATTTTCTAAATTGTGACATTTTGTGTTTTTGTTGTTTTTTTGTTTTTGTTTTCTCTTTGTGAAATTGTTCTGTAATATGTTTTATGTCAGCTGAATGGAAATACGTTATTACCGAGTGGTTAACGCGTCGGACTAGTAATTTCAGGATTGCTGACCGCGTGGGTTCAAACCCCGTCCGGGGCAAGCCATTGTTTCCTTGAGCAAGAAACTTTACATTCATTGCTTAGGACTGGTTGGTTCCAGGAACGGATTCGAGAGTGTTTCTCTTACTGATTACTTATCGGATTTTTTTTATTGTTTTTATTTATTTATTTTTCTTTTTGCAAATACATTATTGCTAAAGGACACCTCATGAGCAATAAAACAAATATAATTTATACATGTACAAATTAATATTGCAGGTTTGGTTTGATTTGATATGATCCAAATGTCTTTGTTCTATAATATTCGAGTATTTCTCCTTCTACAAAACACATGCACGGTGAATTTCATGACTAGTACAAAAAGGTCAAGACAGTTACTTTATTATCTTCTGTTACTATATTATCTTCTGTCTATCACCTATGAAATAGACTTTCGAAGCATGGGTTCATTCTGCAAGGACGTACATAACGACGACCATTTTCAATCTGAAAGTAGGTCAATTTTATTTCGATATGTAGTTGATTTTACAGAGGGTCAAAATCTATTTGAAAAGACCTGTTTTACATAAATATGAGGAATACTTAATGTGACAATAATACAGTTTCACTATAAAATTAACTCAAACAAAACTAACATTTCTAGTGTTTATTCATAGAAACAAAACTGTGTTTAAAACAAGTAGTTCATCGTATGTCAGACAGACCAAGACACTACGTGTTTTTTGAACAATAAAATGTTTTTGATTATTTTTGATGAAATAATTAATACTTCTCAGGTCATTTATTCTAAACATTTTCAGCAACATGACATTTTTCAAAATACAACAAAGAAAACAACTATCCTCTCATTAATTATATATTTAATCAGATCAAACGCTTTTCTTTAGCTTTCGACGTTTTGTCTTCAGAAAAAAATGACGTTTAAAAAAATGACGCACCGTCCGTTGTAACTATCGTTTAACTATACTACGGTAACATTGGAGTAAAAACAACATAAATTTATACAGTTTCCTCAAATGAGACTGAAATTGGATAAAATTAAAAACATAAAAAAAACATATATAAATATAAATAAAGATAAATGACAAAGAGGACGAAAATATTCTCAACATGAAAACAGTTAATTATATTTCATCTAGAATGATTCTTTATTTCATTTTTGTCTTTATTTGTGTTACATAATCTATAATTCGTGACAACTTTGGAAATGTACCAATGTTTTTATCACTCATCTTCAAAGTTCATTAATGTTTGATCCTAAATCTGATATTATTTTCCAAATCTCTTAGTCAATGGCGTTATCATTAATTATTTGTTTGCATCTGAAGGAACTAGCTAGCCTAAGCACAGCACTAATACTGTATAACTGCTTTCTAGTGCACGCTTGATCCATTAGCATTTTGAAAATGTTTTATTATAAATCTGATTATTTTAGATTATAGAGTAATTGAGGTTTTTAAAAATTCTAAACGTTAAAACAATAATCGCGACAATCGCTATCCTGTACAAGATAAAGTTGAACTCTTTTGAATTATGTTCTGTTCTGCTTTGCAAAAATATGTTATACCGATGTAACTGGTTTAAACACTTCTGCAATTATTTCAATTGATAAAATGTCCCTTATAAAGAATATCAATATCGATGAAGGAAATCCGAAGGTGATAATAATAAATATCAAAAACAAATTAAAGTTGTTCTACACATATATCCACAGAATATATCGCCACTCGATAGATCCATACTCTGGCCTTCTATTTTAATAACAATAGATTTAGTAACCACAAACAGTTTATTATCAGCTAACCTGATTAATTAAAAATCTTAGTTTTCGAGCGTTTGATTACATACGCCTAAATAATTTTTTTCATAATGCTTTGCGTGTTTTTAAATACTTCTTATTGTTAGAAAATCTGCACTAAAATCAAACTATTAATATTTATATTTAATATATTATCACTTTTAATTTCAATGACTGAAGAGAAAAAAGTCTGATTTGATTCCAGTTGTTTGCCAACAATACATACACACACGCTATCCATTATTATGTTCTTTCTTTTTCTTTAATTGTTTTTATGAAATCATAATATGTCATTCCTAACAGTTCTTCAAGAATCAAACGTTTCCAATTCTTTCTAAAATAATATACATCAATAAGAAATATCACAATACTTGCTATGAAGACAAGACTTCTAAATCTGCTCGAATCTGATGAATAATCCTGTACAGATTCACCTTCTTCCAGTGAATAAGAAATTGAAAACGCAAGAGTCAACAACTCTAAACAGATCATTAAAAATTCAGAAATATGGAAAATCCTGACATTGTTAAAACGTTGGAAATTCTCTAAATCTCTTTTAAGAATAACAATAGTCACTCCAAGGAAGTAACATGATACCATATACATGACAACCCAGAGACAATAAAGAGTGTAAGTTAATGGTGTGAATTCCTCTCTAAATTCCTCGCCATTCTTCGTCAAATGTGGTCCTAACATGACAAATATCTCAACCAAAGTTATTACCAAACATAACATAAACCTTATTATCCAAACAGCGAAAGCCGAAATAAAAAGACAACAACAATCGTCAGTGAACCTAAATAAGAACCAAAAGAAGATGTCCAACGAATTTATAATGTCCAAACACATCGTTGCTCTATGGTGTACGAGATATAATAAATCTTGATCTGCGTTTCTTCAATATTTATTCTATAAAGTGTTAGTGCCAACTCTTAGTGTTAGTGCCAACTCTTTGTCAAATTGTTATGTAATATTTTGGAACCGTTTGTTTGATCAGCTAAATTGGAAATACTTAACTTCATTTATTTTGTGTGAATAAAATTAAATCAGATAAATTATCAAATAGTATATTTAATTTTTTTTTGAAGTTGATGTGAAGGTTCACAATGTTTGGTATTTGAGTGTTATTCTTTTAAATAGAAGCATTCGTGACTCCTAATTATTATGACCTCTGTAAAAGAATTATAATGATCCTCACGTAGTTTTCAGACCCCCAGTAGCATTTTTATTTTGAATATAACAAAGAAGACGATATTGTAAATTGCAAAAATTTGCAATTTTAAGTGTAAAAGAACAATTAAAACAGCAGTGGAGATGAATGATAATATAAGTTATTGTGATTTCTATTTAAATTGTAGGTCCTGTTCTGTAGTGTGATGTTAAGTTTTGTTAGTCAAAAAAAGACTTGAAACAGATTAATATACATGTATGACTAATGTTTAAACCAGAAACATGTTTATAAATGCGAAATATCGATTTCGGTGTATTACTTCCTGGTATGAAGTAACAGTTAATAGATCAAATTAAGAACCTGCTAGGTCATTCCTATTATTTGTTTAATCGATCAATTTTCCATTTATTGATTAATAAATCATTGCAAAAAGACACCTCATGGGCAATTAAATAAATATAATTTATACATGTAAATATGAATATAGCAGGTTTGGTTTGATTCCAAATGATCCAAATGTCTTGGTTCTTTAACAGTAAGATATTTCACCTTTTACAAAAACACTGTGAATTTCATGACTAAAAAGGTTATGACAGTTACTATTTTCGGTCTATCACCTCTAAAAAAAGACTTGTCACTTCTCCATGTAGGTGTGCATTCTGCACGTAGGTACGTGAAGTCGACCACTATCAATTTCGTGAACACTATTTCCAATCTGAAAGTGGGTCAATTTTATTTCTATATATAGTTAATTTACATAAATATGAGAAATACTTACTCTGACAATACTACAGTTTTACTATCAGAATAACACAAACATATCGAACATTTCTGACGTTTATTCATATTAACAATATTTTACAACAAATGGTTTATCTTATGTCATATATTATAGACCAAGATACTATAATGACAAAAATGCAATTTTTGAATAATAATTCATGAAAAAATATTTTTATTTCATATATAGCAACATAACATTTCTCAAATTACAAAAAAAAAAAAAAAAACTATCCTCTCATTAATTATAATACATGCATAATTCTGTATCTAAGGCTTTCTAAAAATCCTTCTTAAGATGTCCTCAACAAACTTATAGTGTTTTTCAATATTCACATAATTATTTGTGATATTTTATGCACAACTTTACTGCTGATGAGACAGTGTACATTGTTATAGTAGAACCACCAACAGAATGGCTGTAAACTTGTTTCATAGTGTCAGCATTTTATCAGATTTTTCAGAGGTTGAATACCCTGAAGTAATTTGATGTTGCTGTCCTTCAACCTTGTGTGTCCATTTAAAGCAGCACGCCTTCAGATTCATGTTAATTTTCATGAAACATTTTGGAAATGTATTTAAAAGTCAAATAATGCAAGGTGAACAAATAAAGTAATTTACATATTGCAATTAGCACTTACAATCCAAGACAAGAGGGCCATGATGGCCCTGAAGTCGCTCACCTGTATATAGGCCCCCGGAGCAGGGCCAGTTTAAACCCCAGGGCTTTTATTTGAACAAACTTGGTAGACACTCACTAGAAGATGTTTCATGCCAAATATCTAAGCTCTAGCTCTCATGGTTTTTTAAAAGAAGATATTTTAAGTTTTTTTTTTTTCGGTTGCCATGGCAACCAGAGTTCTGCATGGAATTAAATTCTTTGAACAATTTTTAAAGGTGACCACCAAAGGAACATTCCTGTGAAGTTTGGATGAAATTGGCTTAGTGGTTTATGAGGAGATGTCATTTAAAGTAAAAGTTTACGGACGGACGGATGCCGGACGAAAGGCAATTGCAAAGCTCACCCTGTCACTTTGTGACAGGTGAGCTAAAAATTATCAAAAAGTGGTCAACATATGCAAAAACAGCCCTTACTGTGTGAGTAACGCAGTAGAAATATGGTGATAAAATACTGCAAAATCGGTGTTAAACCGCACATAACATAAAAAATATAACTTGGATCTTGAATGTCTTTACCTTTGTAAAAAGTTTGAAGCATTTTTCGATATTGATTTTCTTGAAATATTTGGGCTTATCTGGAGGCGTGCAGCTTTGAAGTAATTACAAGTTGTACATCTCCACTGTAATTTTAAAATTCTATGCAGAACAATAGAACATTAGCAAACAATGAACCTTATTTATATCTAACCTTTTTTCTCTCTGCTTCAGATCTGCAGGATCATGACTTACAAAGTCAGTTGGACAATATTTTACACTTAAACCATACAAACCTCATAATATCTTAGCTATTACACAGATCTATATCTTATCACGAATGGTAGTATAAGAATGTATAAGTCAGGGCTTTTAAAATACAAAATTTGGAAGTCGGAGACTGCAAGATGTCTGACATTGGAAGTCACATTACGTTGGTAAAGAAGGAAAAGCATTGTATATTGGAAGTCACAAGCAAAAAAACAGGAGAAAATGACTCCAAAACTTCCATTAATGGAAGCCATGGTAAGTCACTCAGTAGATTATATATGCAGAGTGACACAGCAAAACAATAAGAATGCAAATTTGTGTAACTGTCTAAGAATGACAATAAAACCTAAAGTACTATCTCCATACTGTTAGGCTTTCACACAGTATGTTACAACAAAACTATGATAAAAACTTAGATTTAAGAACACAACTTAATTGTAGTGAGCAGTCGAATGATATTTAATCATGAAACTCCTGCATTAATATTAACAGGTGAGTTACGTAAGAATAGAGCAACATTGGAAAACAAAATATAATGACCAGAGTTAATACTGAAATACGAATATTGTCACAGTTAATAACTGTGTTATGATGTTAAAATTATCGTATCTGTCGTATATAAAAGAACCGCAACTAGACTGTTTGAACTGGTTTTTCAGAGTGGGATGATTTTCTGTAACACTGATCCTACTCCTTTATACTGTAACAACTACTCGCAACACCGTTTCCTTTCTACAAAATCATACCATGCCATGTTCAGGAAAAACAATGAGATGTTCTTATATATATATACATGATTTTCAAACAGATTTTGTTGTATCTTTTGGCTTTGAGGGAGACAAAGATTCAGCAACTTCATCATCATATAATGTTTCCGGATCTATCATGTTTTTCTTCCCAAATGGGGGTGGACCAATGAGTTCTTCTATCTGAGATGCACTTATTGTCTCCTTTTCTAACAACAGATTAGCCACCTGAAAACAAAAACAACAATTAAATATCTTATTTTTTCACTCTTTCTACAGATACAGGTATTCCTGATACTGTGATGGATATATGAACATAAAAGTAATTTAAAGGTTACATTGTGATTCATCATCACGATGTGAACTGTAAAATGTCCTACAGATAGAGGATATTTGTTTGTTCAATTTAAGATAGGAATATAAGCCACTAAGTGTAGAGCAAATGTATAATTTTCACAAAATGGTGCAGTCATGTGACATGTGAAAATGTTATAACTGGTGGTCTTCCATCATATATAATTCATAATTTAATCTTAAACATAATTTATAATTTAATCTTAACCGTTAACAGTTTTCTACACATTTCATTTTTTTTTATATTGATTCATTTTAACAGTTTCATTCCACACAATGTTGTGTTTCCTTTCAGAAAATCTTCAATTCATGACAATGAAATGTTCATGTTAAACAAGAGGGCCATGATGGCCCTGAAATTGCTCACCTGTATATAGGCCCTTGGGCCAAGGCCAATTTTTAACCAGGGGCTTTTATTTGAACAAACTTGGGAGACACTCACTGGAAGACATTTCATGCTTAGTATCTAAACTCTAGCACTTGGGGTTTTTATAAGATTTTTTAAGTTTTTACTATACACATATAAGGAAAATCAATGAGCCACGGGCGGGGCAAATTTTTTACCCAAGGGCCCTTATTTGAACAAACTTGGTAGACAACCATTAGAAGATGTTTCATGCTAAATATCTTTGCTCTATCTCTTTGGGGTTTTTAAAAGAAGATTTTTTAAGTTTTTACTATATACAAATTAGGAATAGTAATGACCCCCCTGGCGGGGCCAATTTTGACCCCAGGGCATTTATTTGATCAAACTTTGTAGACACTGACTAGATGATGTTTCATGCCAAATATTTAAGCTCTAGCTCTTTCGGTTTTCTAAAAGAAGATATTTTAAGTTTTTTCTTTCGGTGCCATGGCAACCAGAGTTCTGCTTGGAATTAATTTCTTTGAACAATTATTAAAGTTGACTACCAAAGGAACATTCCTGTGAAGGATGAAATTGGCTTAGCGGTTTATGAGATGTCGTTTTAAAGTAAAAGTTTACGGCCGTACTCTGGACATAAAGCGATCACAAAAGCTCACCATGTTACTTTGTGACAGGTGAGCTAAAAATATAATGAACTACATGGAAAGTAGAAGCAATTTTCCAGACGTTATTTGGTTTATTGGCATCATATGATGCTTTAGCATTCCTTTTTTATGCTTTGCATACATTATATCTTGTAATAATGCACTTGATTGCCTATCTCTTGTAATAATGCACTTGATTGCCCTATCTATTTGATACGGGAATAGTGTGAAGCATGTTGGGATTATATATATAAATATACATGTATACGTAAAATAAATAATAATGAAATAAATAAAACAACAATAAGTATGTACTTTATGTAGTTTATCAACGTTTTCCTGTATTATTTTCTCTGTCCGTCTGTACGCCTGTCCGACCAGCTGCTGTGCTTCTATGTCAATCATATTCTGATATTTTTTGCTGAAAGGTCGTATTCCCATGTCATCATCCAGCGGAAACGATAGTAATCCTACAGTTTTACTCATTCCATATGTTTTTATCTGAGCATAAGCTATCTTTGTTACTCTAGTCAAGTCATCCTGAGCACCTAAAATAACAGCCATTGAAAATCAAACTTTCATTTTTAATTTTAAATATTATTCAACTGTCACAAAACACATTCTTAGAATACAGAAAATAATACAGAATTCCTAAAGAACGCCAAAAATGACAAAATTGAAAATATTGCAGGCTTTGTTTGATTGACTCTCTTCATGGATGGTACTAGAAAGTGTAAGTTACCGTCCACACCCCTTAGCACCTGTTAAAGCAGAGTTCAACATTTAAACATACCATGTATTATACATAAAGTGTTTTCATTTATAGATAAAATACTGTATATACTATCAGCAAATAATGTTTTACACCTCTGGAACAAGGCATTACTTTAATGTAGAAAATCAGATATATATTTACAGCATGGAATCACTAACCATTTGTGATACTATTAAATATCACAGATTCAGCAACTCTCCCACCTAAAGCCATACACATCATCTCAAATAATTGTTCATTAGAATAAAGCTGGTTCTCTTTTGGAAAATATTGGGCGAACCCCCAGAATTTAGTTTCCTTGGAATTTTAACCCTTTACAGAGCGTCTGTTTGTCAGGAGCCCGCCAAATACAGCATGACCTGCCCCGTGTAAGCATTATTTCTTGTCTCATATGTTTTTAAAATATTTGTAATTTGGGGCCCCTTGGAGAAAAGAAAGTTGTTCAGTTAATACAAATTTATTTTAGTTTTTTTGTGGTTGGGGGTATAAAAATAATTGAAAAACTCTTAATCCCCGGAACCCCACCCCAAAATAAGCAAAAGAGTGGGGAAAAATTTTAAACTTTCCCCGGGAAAAAAAAGCTTTTTCCCAAAAGGGTTTTTAATCCCTTTGGGCCAAGCAAACCTTTTTCAAGTATAATTTTTTAATCATATATGCCACACTATACCCCTTTTTTTTAAAAATATGTTGATTTTAAAAAAGGAAAAAAAAAGAACAACATAAAATATATTTGTTTTTATAACAGAATATAAAACTCACATAAAAAATGTTACTGGTCGGGGACCATCAACCGGACACTTTTTAAATATTTTTCCGTACAGATTTCATAATTTTTAACCTAGAGACCAACAAATTTGACACAGTTCAGCTAGGTTCTTCTCCTAACTTACAAACTAGTTTGTTTATTTCTGAGTGTATAGACATTTATATCTAAGGCTCGACAAGGAGGTTATCAAAATTACCTAAATTGTCTACACTACAGTACCATGTGTCCGGACAGATATGTACATGACATGATTTAATTCAGATAAAAGCTTGAGTGTTTTGATTTTTCACATGATAAACACTATTTCAGCAACAAATGCTCAAGTTTTGGATATTCTATTGTTTACTCTGCAAATGATTATAGCTGGTATATGAGGTCAGGCATTGCTTTCTTGACCCCCAAATCTCAACGTCAACATTCTTCAAATAGACATTAAAATATTACCATTTACTGAGGTTAAAATAAATTTATTTACTTAATTTTAGAAGAAACATGCATTTACTGTTGATAAAAAAGTGACTGACAACCACTGAACAAAGAAATTACTAAATTAAGCATTTTCGGGGCCGTCCGGGTTTAGTGGTTGTCCGGTTTTAGTGGTCCCCAACCAGTATATAAAATTGCAAATAATTTTTTATCTTATATTTTTATTAGTTTACAACATCTGATCTCTCTTGTTACATTGTGATTTAATAATCTGATATACTAGTAACCACTTTTTTTTTTCATGCATTGTGAAATTCCTTGTTTTTTTTTTCATTATACGGCATACAGTAAAAAATAAATGCTCTAAAAATTGCAGAATGTCAATATGTCAGACCACCTGTTTATAACTCACCAGCAATAATTCTTTCTATTGCAAATTCGAAATCAGAAGCAGACACTTCAGTATTACCAACTCTTGCTGCATGTATAGCTGCCTCATTACATATATTAGAAATATCAGCTCCTACAAATATAACAATAACAGATTTTCAACATACACTTTTCAAACAAAATATTATAATTTTCACCTTCATTCATAAGCAGACTTGATTAAAGTATGTGGTTTTTCACCTATATATGTTTTTCATTGCACCCTGTGGATCTCCCAATTTTCCAAACATAGTTAATACAGAATTTATTTCAATTCAGTTGTGAAGGATACTATAAACAAATTGGCAAACTCCAATCTGTTCTTTGAACAAACCAGCAGTACTAAGCAATGAGTGTACCCTTTATTGCTCAAAGAAAAAAAATGTTTTTTTTCCCTCCACAGAGCCATCACTCCTGTCTTAGATTACAAGTCTGATATGTTACCTGTCATCTGCTCCAGGCTTTTTTTTCACCAGCTGCCAATAAACCACTGGTCAAATTCAACACCTTTTAAATTATAAAGACTTTCATTAATAACTATCTTAATCAAATAACCAACATGTTGCTCATCCGCACAGTCTGTACATGATCCATGCTGTTCGCTATCGTTTTCTCTGTTTATTATAGGTTTTTATAAGTGAACAGCATGGATCCTGATCAGACTGCGCAGGTTGGTGTGGACCCATGTTGGTCGCAACCCATTATGTTGGTTTTGTCATGGCACGGCTATCTAGTAATGTATACTTACCACTCATACCAGGTGTTAGTTTGGCAAGTTTATTGGCATATGTTGACACTGGGCTCTTTAATTTTAATTTGTTTAAATATAGCTCAAACAACTCTGTTCTTTCCAGCAGAGTGGGAAGGTCTATCATTATATGTCTATCAAATCTTCCAGGGCGTAATAATGCCTGTATAAAGATACAAGTGAAATGGTAAATGTTTCATTTAACGTTTTATTAAAAACAATAATTAAAGTATATTTGTCTGTTTGGGTTTAACGTCGACACAGTATTGGTCATATGGCAACGTTCCAGCTTTACTGGTGGAGGAAGAGACCTCAAGTGCCCTTCAGTGTATATTGGTAATAGTACCTTACTGCAGGTTTGTAACATTGATTTTCATTGGATAATCCCAAGTTCATATAAGTTACATACACATCTAGCTGTTGTGTTATCAAGCCTTGTGTATTTATTATTTTTTTCCTCAAATAAAGTAATTATGCAGTATTTGTGATATATAATTACAATATAAAATATAATTTGTTATAATTATAGACTTTTGCCAAGTTTTATGACCTTATTTAAAATATAACCGTCACCTAGAAACAAGATTTATATCAGCTAACAACAATTTGTACTGTCAGCACTGGGTTATAAATATAATGTGTCAAACACACAAATGTAAGCGTCACGACAAAACCATCGTAATGCGCGTCCAGGCAGTCTGATCTGGATCCATACTGTTCGCTTACAAACACTATTACAAGTAGAGAAACTGATAGCGAACAGCATGGATCCTGATCAGACTGCGCGGATGCGCATGCTGGTCTGGATCCATGCTGGTCGCAAACCCACTATGTTGGTTTTGTCGTGACGCAGCTCAAATATGTAAAGTGTAACCATGTTGAATGGTACCCAATCCAATCACTTTCCAGTACAGACCAGAATGTCTAGCTAAAAGGTAACTGTTGACAACTGTAACGAAGCTCTGCCATGTTTCCACTAAACAGTTACCCAAGAGCTAGATATTCCTGTCTAGGAAGCCAATCGGTGTTTTATTCATTTTCTTGTGTATTTCATATTAATGATATTACGAAAAGAAATAATGAAAATAATATTTTTATTTAGCACTTTTTTCTTATAGTAGTGTATGGATTTACAACTTCATTCATAATGGCAGAATGACATCATCCTAAGAACATAATTCATTCATAAAAGGCACGTGGGAATGACATTTAAAACTCGCGACTTGTCTTACATGGGGGATGTAAGACAGGTTTTTCTAGCACTGGTATAAACAGTACATAATCTAGCCTGATTTGCAAGAATTATATTTCATCTTGATATCGCCTAAATTGATAATGGACAGTTCCAAAAATGGAAGCTGGACAAGTCCATTTATGAAATTCAGCAGGTTATGGTTAAGTTATTAGAACCATTTGATATAATGGTCTTGTGTAAACATGGCCTGGAATATAACCTATGACATGATAGAAATAAATGCAGTGAGAACAGACCAAGTAAGTTGTGCCAAATGCTAGTGAATTGTGTATCACATTGAAACCATCTCTATAACTGTGTGTTTTTCTGTTATCTTTAAGTCAAAGGACCTCTTTGAGATTTTCAATAGGAGTTTTTTCTTTCTGTTGCCATGGCAACCAGAGTTCAGCATGGAATTCAATTCTTTGAACAATTTTCAAAGGTGACTACCCCAGGAACATTGCTGTAAAGTTTGGATGAAACTGGCTTAGTGGTTTATGAGTAGATGTTGTTGAAAGTAAAAGTTTAAGGACGGACGCCGGCGGACCAAAATCGATTATAAAAATAACAGCAGCAAACTATACCCATCGTTTACATAATATGGTATTTATTTTATACAGCTCCTAAGCACCAAATATTGTAGTTGACAGGTTTTTGGACCTTTCACCAGTTCAATTTTGGAAGTCATTTCTTTTGTTTTCTTTAGTTGTTTTCTAAGCTACATTCCATGCTATCATTATTTTGCAAAAAAAAAGAGTTACTATTCTCTTTTGCTAACTTTACCACGTGATCATACAGGCTAAAATATTGAGAGTGTGCAAATAGTAGATAAGTTACCTTGTCAAGCACATCAGCTCTATTTGTTGATGCTAGGATAATTACATCTTTTCTCTCATTCATACCATCTAACTCTGTCAGTAACTGGTTTAACAATTGTTCGTCTGACTGATTTGACTGTCCCCTGAAATGTCGAAGCAGTATTTTTAGACTGATTTGACTGCCCCCTGAAATGTCGAAGCAGTATTTTTAGACTGATTTGACTGCCCCCTGAAATGTCAAAGCAGTACTTTTAGACTGATTTGACTGCCCCCTGAAATGTCGAGGCAGTACTTTTATAGCTTTCAAAGACATTCCTTCAAAAATATACAGCATTATAGTTCTTACTCTCGTGTGACTAAGTAAATTCTGATTTCGGCAACAATTACAAATAAAACATTACTTTAAAGGGGCTACACTGAGGTCTGACAGGTAATTTGGTGTCCAAAAAAAATGTAAACAAATTTCCTCACAAATCACAATATTATAACTAAAATAACAATAACTTACACTTTAACCAACCCTCTAACAACAAGTATGCTAGAAAATGCATTTTCACATTAGCTTTTGATGCAAAAATGAAAGTTGGTTTTCCCAGGCATCTACAGAAGTTACCCACAATTCATCGGGTATGACTAAAATACGCAACGGACATTTTTGGAACAACAGAGTAAACGGGGGTAAAAAAGTCTATTGATTTTTTCTTAACACTGTAACCTATCATGTTTATATAACTTGAGTATAACAAAGAAAAACTGTATAAAAGATAATTTCGTTGTCTTGAAAAATCAAACGCCAGCGAAGCGGACATTTTCTAGATAAAACGGAAAGATATAATATACATGTACAATTATTTTCATTGACATTTCAGTTTCAATTTCAATATTCTAAGGCAAACATAATGCATCGGTGATATTTATACTATAACGAGCACAGTGTTATCACACTAATAAATGTATTTAACGCTATCTATAACGTATTTAATCAAATACAGTTAATGACATGTCTCATTTGATTTGATTGTTTGTTTTTGGAATGAAGTGGGGGTTACGTAACACAAAACTGTGTAGGTCATTTTGGCGACTCTTCAGTTTTACAGGTGGAGTAAGAACTCATGTGCCCCCTTTGCAAAATTGTTTCTGGCACAAACGGGCATCTGTGTATGTAATGAGTGACGTTTCGTAGGCTATCTTGATAGGATCGTACATACACGTTCCACACACAATTACATCATATTCATACCATAGGCAAAATTGAATGCACGTTCCCTATTGTAACAATATGAAACCCCAGAAAAAAACATATTCATGAACCAGCTTCTGAATGTGACATTTCTATTGTTATTCCACAAAAAGCACCCCCCCCCCCCAAAAAAAAAGGAATGAGTACATCAATGGGCATGCTCTGGAGTATTTGGAACTATTACCTGCACTCCAGTTACGCACTGTGCATGTATATGAATTTGATTTAACTCTGACACGTTTTCAACAGAAATGTCTTCAAACTATGATACAATAAATGTTTATGATTCTATTAGAAACTTGTTTAGAATTTGATGATTTTTCGGTGAAAACGATATAGTTTACTTGTACTACATATAAGATCAAAGTGCTGAAGGCACTGAAGAAAAAACCGGATAAACTAACACATTTTCACTCCAGTTTCACAGGTAAATTAATTTTATATGTCGCGGTTTACATTTTAATATCAGCTAACCTTTGCTTTTTGAGACTTTTGTTTTTGAAAATAATCTAAACGAGTAAAATAAACCCTCTTTTATGGGCAAATAATTTAATAAGTGGCATCCCCGATTTCTCTTTCATAAATTGGCTTTAGCAAATTCTTTTCTATTCAAATATTAAGAACATTCTGTCAGTGACGTGTCTTCTACTTGAAATCTTCCTGGTGTGTATTTTTCGGTAACATGAAGAAAATGACAGTCTGTTCGTATCTTTCGGTAACAGGAATAAAATGACAGTCTGTTCATTTGATCATGACTGTGAAAAATTATGTTTTGTGAACCAATTTTTCCTGCCGAAGCAATCTGGTGGTTTATGTTCTATTGCTCACACTTAGTATTTAATTCCAAAGAATATTTCTTAGGAGACCTTTAACGTTTGATTACGGTATAATCACTATAACCGAAATACTTAGGAATTAATTTTAATTCCTGTTACTGTGAAATTTTTCGTTCATGGTTTTAAAATACTTCAGTAGCTCTATAAATTTTCAAAACGATATCCAGTATTTCCGAAACAATTTACAAAAGCTTTTAATACACAATCTTATAAATCTTAAAGTATTACGAGAACAATCCACCTAATCTCCAGAACATACATACGAAAAACAAGATAAATCAAAAGGCTGTAAGCTCTGTGGTATTTTCTGATTTTTGCAATCTAAATCGCACTGTTTAACTGTATTATTTTCCTGTATAAGTTTATTTTTATGTACTATAATTCTTCTTGCTTGGTACCAGAGTTTGATACATATGCAATTTTGCATGACTAGAGTTGCATCAAAAATCATTTATGTTCATTTTTATGACAGCCACACTTTATCCCTGCATATCGTGGCTATTTCCTTAACAAAGAAACTTTATAAAAAACAAGCATTTGATAGTATTGCGGGCAATACAGTAGTCCCCTACCGGTCCCTCAAAAAGTTCTTTAATTGTCATACACTCCTGTGTATTGCCATTTATAATGAATTTGAGGATGAAGTCTGTATTTGAAAATATCGACCACAAAACATAATAAAATAAGTTTGTTTATATCACAGTAATGTGTTAAGTTTCCATGCTTAGTAAGGAAATTATGTTTATACAACCTTGTCATATTATTACGATGTGGGATTTTAAAGTAAATCCTATAAGGAATGAAGAAGTTGGAGGGAAAATACCAGTTTCTCGAAAAAAATCTAAGTTCAAGGGGGACATAATTCTGGAAATAGTCTTGCTAGAGTATTTAACCTTCTCAAAAATGTCGAGTGATAATAAGAAACATATATATGAAGTTTGAAGTAGATACATTAGGAAATAAAGAAGTTATTTAAAAAAGACAACATTTTTTCCCCTAAAAAATCTAAGTTCAAGGAGGTAATATTAATATTTTTTTGTGCTAGAGTTATAAACCTTGTCACATATGATGTGGTTGATGACCAGGAACTTATATTTAAAGTTTGAAGTAAACACCTTAAGAAATAAAGAACATATAGTGAAAAAGCTGAAAAATTTAAATCAGAAATCTTGAAATTCAGGCTATTTGTTGCCATAGCAACCAGAATTTTCAACATAGGAAGAAAATAAAAAGATGTGCATAATCTCCAGACTGCCATCTACCCATATTTCAAGTTTCATAAAAATATTTTCAGTACTTTTTGAGTTATCACTGGATCCAGTTTATGTGTTAAATTTGCCATATTTTCAGACTATTTGTTGCCATAGCAACCAGAATTTTCAACATAGGAAGAAAAAAAAAAGACGTGCATAATCTCCATCTGCCATCTATCCATATATCAAGTTTCATAAAAATATTTTCAGTACTTTTTGCGTTATCGCGGGATCCAGTTTTGTGGACGGACGGACTGACGGACTGACAGACTGACAGACAGACAGACAGACAGACGGACAGACAGATGGACAGACAGACAGACGGACAGACGGACGGAGGGTAAACCTAAAGTCCCCTCCGGTTAAACCGGTAGGGGACTAATAATTGCCTTGAATTGGATTTGAACCCCAGACACACTAAACGAGCGCGTTACCCTCGCACCACAGAGAAGATATACGAACAATGCCTGAATAAAATCAAGTAATACTAAATTTAGATTTTTCATTGCATTTTGGGTTTGTAATCCTTATTAATTTCGAGGTTTTTTGTTCAAGATAAACCTGTTGTTTAACATTGATGTAAATAATTTAACAAAAATCTTCTCGCCAAAACAGTCCGACATGTATATATTCCACTACTCGACAGTCAGATTTATTTGTGAAATACGCTCTCGACATCGCTTAAAATAGCATTTTCATTGATTAAAATGATATTCATCCGCGTAATTTGTGAATGTGCATTCATTGACAATTTTATAACCCAAAGCTACTTTTAAACTTTGAATGCGTTGTAATTTGTTGGATTCTTATAACAAAATGAAAATATTTCTTTCTTTTAAATCGCTAGTTTTCAGCTGTTTTAAGAACTGCTTGTTGTTAGGTTTGTCGTGAAACCGCTGTGTCAGAGATTGACTGTTATCTTTGTATTTCCTGATCTTTGATCAGAAATACAAAAAGAAATGGTAACATTCAATGAATGCAACACCCACACGACCAAGCAACACAGGACCACAGCTAAATTATCAATGAAAAATTTAATTTCAGGCTTTCAAGTGGTAAAAAAAAGATAAACAGGCTATAAGGAGTAAAACAATTGTTAAGATATGCATTGCCGTTTCCCAAGTTTGTATACCGTCTAGGAGTTGGAAGTATTATAAAACATAGTTTAAGTAATGGTTGTTGTTTGAGGTGAGGTTAATAATATCTTACTGAATTCTTAAAGTTACCTTTACTTACCTGCCCTTCACATTTGTCTTGCAAGTATCATGATTTTGTTTGTTTCGTTTAATTTGAAAGAATGTTAGGGTTTAAAGAACAACAACTATATAATCAGTTTTAAGTTTATTTCACTAGTCACAGCAATACCCATGCTGTGGAAGCTTGACTGTGTCGGGGGCTGCGTCCTGTGAACTTTGCCGTCGCCTTGTTTGTCTTTATTCCAGTTTTCCTTTTTTTTATTATTATAACGCTCTCCTTTTCTTTTCCACCGGGAAGCTTCAATATATTGGTAACATTAAAGCACAGCTCAATTGACCCATCACTAGAATGGAGGCCTTCCAATAAGAAAGCAATTTATCAGGGTATCTGCTATATCAATAATGATAATAATAATAATATTAATAGAGCCAGATTGTAACTCTTTTCCGACCTTCTTGATGATGTTTACCATGTGTAACGATATTAAATTTTAGTTTAACCTGCATGTTTATTTTACCTTGACCTTTATATTATTAGTACTATTTTATTAATGCTTGAATGGGCAGTTTTTATTTATAGACAGGCGATTTTTGCCACTAGCCAGTTTTAAAATTAAACTTAATAAGCTTACATTTGTGTTTTTACTTTATTTTATTTACATTTGTAAATTACTGAACTTTGTATACACAATAAATATACGTACATAAATTAATGCTTGAATGGGCAGTTCTTATTTATAGACAGGCGATTCCCGCCACTAGCCAGTTCTAAAATTAAACTTAATAAGCTCACATCTGTGTTCTTACTTTATTCTATTCACATTTGTAAATTACTGAACTCCGTATACACAATAAATATACGTACATAAATTACACAAAAAACATTACACCATGTGCATGAAACAGGTATCAATTACCTACAGTTTTGAATGTCTAGATCAAAACGTAGTAATCTTCTCATCAACAAAGTTTACATCCAATCCGGATAAATATGCAAGTATGTATGTAAAATGATAAATATTAAATTTCAGATCTATCTAGCAAAGGAGGTCGATTTTTTTCTTATAGAATTTAAATTATATGCACTAGACATACATAAGAAATATTAACTAATTAAGTTGAAGCCTAAATGTCTTATATAGGAATGAGGCCGGATTCATTCTCTATTTAGCCAGTGCTTTCAGTGCTTTGATCAGAGTTAAAGAGAAATCTGTGGAATAACATTCTGAGTGTGCGTGTGATTTTTTATGCTTACAATACTCAAGTTCATGTTCGTTGTATAAAAGGTATTACGAAGTTTTTTTTCCAGAACGAGTGTCAGATAAACCAAAGTGACCTTTGAAATAGGACCCATTACACTGATTGACAAAGTAAATTTTCTTAGCCTAGATATCATGATATTTTAACCATTATAAAGTTAATACATAATATCTAAGAATTACACGAAAGCTCTCAAATTGACATAGAATATTTGTAAAATTTGTGTATGTCAGTTTCCAACTCCGTACGTTTAGCTAAATCCATCATTGTAATGGAGAAAAAAACATGATTACAACAATGTAATGCTTTAAATATATTGAAATTGCTTTTGAAAGATTTTTCTCACAAGAACATATGTGAACAACAAGAAATTTAACAAACAAACCCATAGTTTGCTTTTAAATTTATGGATTGTTGGTATATTCCACTTTCGCACTTTCGTTGCTGCCGATACACAAAAAAATCTCCGTTTCGCTTTTTAGTCATCCCGAGAATCATCACGTGACCGTTGTTTTTATTCAGATTTGCAACTGAAAGGTGTTTAAACGCTTTTCCCACAAAATTGGAGAAAATGTGTATTTCAAACGATTTGCCAATCCAAAGAACACATATCAATGTATCACTGATTCTGTTTGAATGTCCCTAACACGCAGGTAACAAAAAATTATCGGTTTGTGAAATTTTACTTTTTTTTGTGACATTCGGCCGTACCTCAGTGGAGTACCTTTAAGCAAATGTTTACCATATTTGATATTATAAATGTTGCATGACTCTGTACTGGTAATACATACCTGTTATTACCACCACTATGGTTTAAGATATAGAACATGTATTTAAATAATTACTAAAATATCATGTACTGACCTGACCCTACCAATTGCATCTATTTCATCAATGTAAATAATACAAGGAGCATTCTCACGAGCATTTTGAAACAATTTCCGTACTTTGCTTGCTCCAGCACCTAAAATAATTCAATAAAATAATTAAAAACAATAAAATATTGTAGTTCAAATAAGATTAAGTTAATAACATACATAAAGCACTCACTATAACCATCATTAATACTATGAAATGCTGGCATTTGGTTCACTTTGATTTTCTTAACTCAAAATCTTCAATTGACTAGCACTATTTCACTGAACATGGCTCTACATTTGTCTTACACTGTTTTACTGAACTTGAATAGAATGTTCATTAATTTTTTTACTTATGCACTATGTCAAAGCTCTGTAAAGATATAATTGGGATGATGAAGGTGGGGGATATGAGTGGTCAGATGCTTTTAGAAGAAATTGTGAAGTAGAATCAACAACTGATTATAACTGACACCAGCTAATCACATAAGCATGTAAAAGTTTGTTTGATTGGGTTTTATGTTGCACTGGTACAGTATAGGTCATTTGGCAACATTCCAGCTTTACTGGTGGAGGAAGACCTCACATGCCCGTTTGTGCCTTCAATAATGCACCTGACTAGAACCACTGACATTCCGTAAGCTAGCTGGATAGTTTTCTCACATAAAAGAATCCGGATTCAAACCCACAGCAGTGAGGGGCAAGTGGTTTGAAGTCAACAACCTTAACCACTCAGACATAAGCATGTGAAAGTTTGTTTGTTTGGTTGGTTTTAAGTCACACAAACATTGTAGTCATATGGTCACTTTCCAACTTAACTGGTGGGGGGAAGACCTCAGGTGCCCTCTGTGCATTATATTAGGTGCAAGCGAGCACCTGAGTAGAACCACCAACACTCTGTAAGCTAGCTGGAAACTTTCCTCACAAGAACAAATCCAAAATTGCTGGTTTGACTCAAACCCACAGCAGTGTGAGGAAAGATCAAATGACGAGTCAATTTTGCAGGTGGCTACATATTACCGCACCATGTCATATATCCAAGCTCTGGGCAGTGTTGTTTATTATGAGATTTTTATATCAAGTCTCCTATACAACTCAAAGTTACAAATAAGATCCCAAGGCAGGGCAATTTTTAACTTCAGTGCCAATATTCATATAAACTATGAATAGGAAATGTTAGATGTAAAACATCTATGCCATGTAGTGTCATACAAGAGGATTAAGCTGTCTTTCCCCATAAAAGTCTATGTAAAGAAATTGATCCCTATAGTTTGGCCAATTTTGACCTTTATACAAAATTTTGTTATGGTGAACCAGGTTGCACTACATGGCAAAAATCTCAGCTCTGTACATAGAAATTTCTGAGAAGATTTTAATGTGTTTTCCTAGATTTATGTAAAATATGTGAACCCAAGGGTTTGGCAAATATTTACCCTGGGGGAATGATACTTTTCAACTTTTGTTGAAGATAAAAGATGATGCTCCTAGCTAAGTATCTTAGCTTTGAGCATTAAAAGTCCCTGAAGAGAAGATTTTAAAGTATAATAATGCAAGGTGTATCGTTTAAATGCTTTGTAATTAATCAATCAGAACTACCTGCCTTCATTACTTTATTCCAAAGTATTTAAACTCAAACTCTGCATTTTTCTACAACGAACTTAAAATTGATATCTATTTCCTGATAGGTATGTACCAATAATCATGGTGATAGCAATATAATTGAGCCGTGTCACGACAAAACCAACATAATGGGTTTGCGACCAGCATGGATCAAGACCAGCCTGCGCATCCGCGCAGTCTGATCAGGATCCATGCTGTTCGCTATCAGTTTCTATACTGGTTATAGAGTTTGTAAGCGAACAGCATGGATCCTGATCAGACTGCGCGGATGCGCAGGCTGGTCTGGATCCTTGCTGGTCGCAAACCCATTACGTTGGTTTTGTCATGACGCGGCTCAATTATAGAATAAAATATTACCAACAAACATATCCATGAACTCTGTGGCAGCCATGTAGTAAAATGGTACATCACATTCTGAGGCTAAAGCTTTAGCCAGCAATGTTTTACCACATCCAGGAGGTCCCAATAAAAGTGCTCCAGTAGGTGGTCTTGCTCCAAGCTTCTGTTAAACAAAACATATAAGACTACATGTATTACCAAGTCTTGTCATTCTGAATTGATACAAAATTAAAATATCGACAACAAATATTAATAATTTCTAATATCTTATTTTGACTTTTATTGAAAAAAAAAAAAAAAAGAGTAAAAGCTGTTACTTCATTTAGTTATTAAAAGCATAAAGTGTTCAAATACCAACAGCAGACATATAAATCCACCTTGTTGAGCAATTGGTAAAACATGGCTAAAGTATATTGTGTAAGTTCTGTTGAGGTTCAACCATAATTGGGAGAAAAACATTCAAGATAAAAAACAATTTTTACTGTATTTTCTTCATTAAAAGAGGCACAATTTTATACATATAAGGAAAGAAGATAGTGGCGGCGTGGCCGAGTGGTTAACGCATCGGACTAGTAATCTCAGGATTGCTGACCGTGTGGGTTCAAACCCTGTTAGGGGCAAGCAGTTGTTTCCTTGAGCAAGAAACTTTACATTCATTGCTTAGTCCTGGTTGGTTCCAGGAACAGATTCGAGAGTGTTTTATTAAGTTTATAGCTTCCAACACAATCATACTTGAAGTTACAAGCAAATATCTGTAGAGGTTGAAGAGATATGATCTTAAACAAGACAATGCAGATTAAACTTAAACCAAAGTCATATACTGACCTAGAGACTGATACTAACACCTGTGTGGGTAGGACAGCCTTACTATTCTTCAAATAGTTTCAGCTAAAATCGAGCCAAATAAAAGGTATGAAACAGCTTCAAATTGAATAGTTAGACAACAAGTGAGAACTAAACCTACTTGAACTAAATCTTTTT